TGGAAAACCTATTGAAAATGGATGACTTCTTCATCAAGATAAGAAGCTTTTGTATAGCAAAGGATACAGTCAACAAAACTCAAAGACAACCTACAGAATGGGGGAAGATATTTGCAAATAACATATCAGATAAAGGGCTAGTTTCCACGATCTATAAAGAACTTATTAAACTCAACAGCAAAGAAACAAACAATCCAATCATGAAATGGGCAAAAGACATGAAGAGAAATCTCACAGAGGAAGACATAGACATGGCCAACATGCACATGAGAAAATGCTCTGCATCACTTGCCATCAGGGAAATACAAATCAAAACCACAATGAGATACCACCTCACACCAGTGAGAATGGGGAAAATTAACAAGGCAGGAAACAACAAATGTTGGAGAGGATGCGGAGAAAAGGGAACCCTCTTACACTGTTGGTGGGAATGTGAACTGGTGCAGCCACTCTGGAAAACTGTGTGGAGGTTCCTCAAAGAATTAAAAATAGACCTGCCCTACGACCCAGCAATTGCACTGTTGGGGATTTACCCCAAAGATTCAGATGCAATGAAACGCCAGGACACCTGCACCCCGATGTTTCTAGCAGCCATGTCCACAATAGCCAAACTGTGGAAGGAGCCTCGGTGCCCATCGAAAGATGAATGGATAAAGAAGATGTGGTTTATGTATACAATGGAATATTACTCAGCCATTAGAAACGACAAATACCCACCATTTGCTTCAACGTGGATGGAACTGGAGGGTATTATGCTGAGTGAAGTAAGTCAATCGGAGAAGGACAAACAGTGTATGTTCTCATTCATTTGGGGACTATGAATAATAGTGAAAGGGAATAGAAGGGAAGGGAGAAGAAATGTGTGGGAAATATCAGAAAGGGACACAGAACATAAAGACTTCTAACTCTGGGAAATGAACTAGGGGTGGTGGAGGGGGAGGAGGGCAGGGGGTGGGGGTGAATGGGTGACGGGCACTGAGGGGGACACTTGACAGGATGAGCACTGGGTGTTATTCTGTATGTTGGTAAATTGAACACCAATAAAAATTAATTTATATATAAAAAAAAGAAAATGGATGACTTCTAAGCAAAGTATAAACTATAGCTGATCCCCCACAAAAGAGTTGACTTTTTAAGTGATCACAGAGGAGAGTGGACACATCATTTAAAATCCACCATATAATACTGCATCATATAACAGAGTTTCACAAATGATTTCTCTAGTTGACCTTAAAAGAGCAAATTCTAAAGTCACTTAAATTATTTCAGATAATTAGTAAAATAAGAAATGCTCCCTAAAGTTATTTTAAGGGATCTAGCATAATTTTAAGTACCAACATATGATTAATACAGTACTGAAAAACCTCCCTTATATATCAGTCTAATAAGAGATATATTCTAAATAAAATACCAATAAATGGCACCCAAGAATGTATCAAAAGAATACAATACTTGGACCTAAGAGAATTACTTGGAGATCCTATCAGTATTTTTTTTAAGATTTTACTTATTTATTCATGATAGAGAGAGAGAGAGAGAGGGAGAGAGAAAGGCAGAGACACAGGCAGAGGGAGAAGCAGGCTCCATGCCGGGAGCCTGACGTAGGACTAGATCCTGGGATTCCAGGACCACGCCCTGGGCCAAAGGCAGGCACTGAGCTGCTGAGCCACCCAGGGATCCCCCGATCAGTATTTTAATAGGCACTGTATGAAGGCTGTTTCTTAATTTATGATAAACTGATATATTTAAAACACTGAATTTCCCATACCAGAACATAAAATCTCCACTTATCTTTATCCTTAATGTCTTTTCATCATACTTATTTCTCATAAAAAGCCTCTTTTGTGCAGTACATTCATATTTGGTTATTTTTCGCCCCTACTTTATAGCTGGCATTAAGAAAAACTTAAGTTTCTATATATTTATTTGGCCACCTTGCTGAACCACTTAATTAGTTCTAGTAATTTGTAATTTCATTCTTTTCCACTTTCTAGAAATAAAATCACATCATCTAAAAATAGTACCTTCACTTTTCCTTTCCTAACATTTTTGTCCCTTCTTTTTTTTATTGTTCCGGCTAGAAATGCTAGCACAGTGTTTAATATTAGTGAAGGTAAATATTCCATTTCTTCCTGAGTTTAATGGAATGTTTCTACTGTTTTATCATTAACTATGAAATTCACTATCATTTCTTTTAAGTGCCTTTTATCAAGTTGCTATTTGTCTATTCTCATTTTGTTAAGTGTTTTCAAAGGAGGTATTGAATATTTTCAAAAAACACTTTTATCAATTGAAATGATCATATAGATTTAAACTACTAAAACTGATTTATAGAAACAGGCTTTCTAATGTTAAATCATTTCTGGGATAAAACCTTTTTTGTTCTAGATGGAAGGCACGATTGACTTTACTAATACTTTATTATAGGGCTTTGTGTTTATGAGAGTTTGGTAGCTTTTTCTTCTTGTGCTATCTTTGTCAGTTTCAGCATCACAGGATGCAAACATTATAAAATGAGTTGCAGAACTCTCCTTGATGGCAGGGCTCCAGGAATAAGGGACAGCAAGAGCAGAGACACCAGGATGAAAAATAGCAAGATATGCTCAGAGAAAAGGACTTAAGACTTCTTAAAATGGACTAAGTAACACAAAGTGTATTTGACTCATGTTGCTAATTAATCTTCAAAGCACAGCTCCTCTGCCAAAAACACTTTGATTTACTGCTTATTTTACATACAGAATAGAATCCAAACTCTTCAGCTTGTGTTCAAGAGCTTTCCTGTTTTATTTTACATTTCAGCCTGTGCTTTCTTGTCTGTGATGTTTGTTTGCCTGGAATGCTGTGTATCATCTATGATGATATATCAGATTCTACCCACTTACCAAGGGAATAGCTTACCAAGGGAATAGCTCACATGTCCACGAAAACTTCTTGGATCCAATTGAAGTGTTTGAATTCATGTGTCCTACAGCAAATTATTGTCAGCTTTTGGACCGCCAACTTGTTTCTTTTTTTCTTTCTTTCTTTTTAGGATTTTATTTATTTATTCATGAGAGACACAGAGAGAGAGAGAGGCAGAGACACAGGCAGAGGGAGAAGCAGGCTCCACGCAAGGAGCCCGATGTGGGACTCAATCCCGGGACTCCAGGACCACACCCTGAGCTGAAGGCAGGTGTTAAACCGCTGAGCCACCCAGGGATCCCCCTTCTCCTTCTTTTAAAAAGACGTTATTTATTTATTCACCAGAGACACAGAGAGAGAACCAGAGACAGGCAGAGGGAGAAGCAGGAGCCCGATGTGGAACTTGATCTCAGGACCCTGGGATGGCAATCTGAGCCCAAGGCAGATGCTCAACCACCAAGCCACCCAGGTGCCCCATGGCCTGCCAACTTTTTTTTTTTAACATTATTTATTTATTTATTCATGACAGACACACAGAGAGAGAGAGAGAGAGGAGAGAGAGAGAGAGAGAGAGAGAGGCAGAGACACAGGCAGAGGGAGAAGCAGGCTCCACACAGGGAGCCCGATGTGGGACTCGATCCTGCGTCTCCAGGATCACACCCAGGCTGAAGGCGGCACTAAACCGCTGAGCCACCGGGGCTGCCCAGCCTGCCAACTTCTTAAGGCTGACAGCTACATGAGGTTGGCCAGTGTCACCCCCCCCCCCAAATTCAGGTCCTTCCCAGAACCTTAGAATGTGACTTGATCTGGAAACATGGTCATTGCAAATATAATTAGGTAAGACCAGGTTATACCACAGTAGGGTGGTCCTTTGTCTAAGAGGACTTTGTCCTTTTAAAGAAACAGAGACTGGGCATCTGGGTGGCTCAGTTCATTCAACACTCAACTCTTGATTTTGGCTCAGGTCAGGATCTCAGGGTTATGGGATGGAGCCCTGCACTGGGCTCCACACTCAGTAGGCCGTCTGCTTGAGATTCTCTCTCCCCCTCACCCTACTCCGCTCCTCCCTCATCCCCCACCACTCTTGTGAACACGCTCTCACACACAAATAAGTCTTAAAAATAAAGAAAAAAATAAAGAAACAGAGACAGAAACACAGAAAAAACATCGTATTGGAACAGCTAAAAGATCCGAGCGATGGGGCAGCCCCAGTGGCTCAGCGGTTTGGCGCCTGCCTTCAGCCCAGGGTGTGATCCTGGGGTCCCTGGATCGAGTCCCATGTCGGGCTCCCTGCGTGGAACCTGCTCCTCCCTCTGCCTGTGTCTGCCTCTCTCTGTATCTCATGAATAAATAAATAAAATCATAAAAAAAAAAAAAGATCTGAGCGATGCAGTTAACAAGCCAAAGAACTCCTGGGATGGCTGGTCACCACCAGGAACTGGGAAAAGGCAAGGAAGCATTTTACCCAGCATTTCAGGGGAAGCATGATCCTGCTGACATCTTCATTTCGGACTTCTGGGTTCCAGAACTGTAAGAGAGCAAACACGCTGCTCTAAGCCACCCAATTAGTGACATTTCGTTAGGGCAGCCCTAGGAAACTAAAACAATGGCAATTTTAATTTGGAATTTATCTTCCCAACCCCAACAGCGCCGTGTCCCTAGCCCAGTTCCTGACGCGGGCTTCCGGAAGCAGCAGCAGGAATCCCCAGACGTTTATGAGCTCCGGCCATGAGACGACGGACTGACAGCCATCACGACGCAAGGTAGGCGGCCACGCAGGTAAACTGAGGTCGGAAAGTAAGTAAAACACGGGGCAGCTGGCTGGGGAAGGGCCTCGAACGGACGCTCAGGGAGGAACGGCGGAGTTCTTGAGGAGACGGGAGTCTCCGAGCAGCTCTCCCAGGCTCCGCTGTACAGCTCAGCCCCCTCCCATTCCCCACCACAGACCCAGCAGTAGCGACCGGGGCCCGTTCAGGAGCCTCTCCTGTCCACCTACCACATCATTCACGCGCGTCCGCGGGCGCATCCGTGGTACGTCAGCGCGTCCCGCTGAGTTACGGTGACGCGTGGGGGAGGGACTTCCTCGCCACTCCCGAAACCGGAAAAGGCTCTTTCCCACCGGAAAGAGAGAGAAGGTGCTGCCCCGCGCCCACCCGAGGGAGGGCTAGGTGCGTCTGTGGCCACCGGCCGGGCGGGCAACATCCGCCCTCTAGTAGGCAGGCTGGCTGGTGTGTCGGGTTTCGGGGAGTTTGGCGGGGAGCCGGCGTAGAGGTGAGAGGTCGGCGTATCTGTCGCGGGGTCCGCGTCACCAACGTGTTGGGGCTCGTTTTGGTGCTCAGCTTTCTCTCTTTTTTTTTTTAATTTATTTATGATAGGCATACAGTGAGAGAGAGAGAGAGAGAGAGAGAGAGGGAGGCAGGCAGAGGGAGAAGCAGGCTCCATGCACCGGGAGCCTGACGTGGGACTCGATCCGGGTCTCCAGGATCGCGCCCTGGGCCAAAGGCAGGCGCCAAACCGCTGCGCCACCCAGGGATCCCGGTGCTCAGCTTTCTTGACTTCGTTTGAAGAAAAACAAGCGCGGTGGTTCACGGAGCTGCGGTGGGGGTATATGCGGAAAGGAGAAGTACCAAAAAAAAAAAAAAAAAAAAAGAAAGAAAGAAAGAAAGGAGAAGTACCCGCTCAGCGTGAGCTTTAAGGAGGAATAATGCAGCAGGTGACTTTCACAGAAGTGGTGGCCTGGGTCGCCCAGGGCTGCGACGCGAGGGCCGGTAAGAATCGGACGGTCTGAACCGGTGGCTCCTGCTTGAGGCAGCGGCACCTGTTGCGTTAATGTGGAAACATGCCCGGCCGGCTGGTCATTTTTAAGCTTCCTGAATCCGCCGGGAGGTCATTCGGTGTCAGAGGAGGAAGAGCCATCTGGGCCCTCCCCACCTCGGTTCAGTTTAAATTGAAGGCATATAGTGAGAGGAGGCGGGCTGAAAGGTCGCCGAGGCGGTCAGTGACAGAGGCAGGACTAGGGGTGAGATTTCTTCATTTCCAGCCTAAGACTTCTGTCCTCCACATCTTTTTTTTTTTTTTCCTTAAGATTTTATCTATTCTTGAGAGAGGCAGAGACACAGGCAGAGGGAGAAGCAGGCTCCATGCGGGGAGCCTGATGCGGGACTCAATCCTGGGACTCCAGGGTGACACCCTGGGCCGAAAGCAGAGGCTAAACCCCTGAGCCACCCAGGGATCCCCTCCAAAGAGCTTTTTATGTGAGAGATATATAGATAGCTCTATCTATATATCAGTATTTTTAGTGTTGGAGATTAAAACTGAGAAATGTTTTAAACACAAGAATATACAAGCATATACTGTTGTCAGAGTTATGAATGTCCTCACATGCATGTAGCCTCTGGTTAAACTCTGCTCTGTAGGTTCGTGGAATAAGAGTGAAAGGGCAAATAATGTCTCAGTTTTGTCATGAAAGTAGTTGTGACCTGACTAAGCCTCTAAAAGGGTCTGGGGGGGGGGGCACAAGAACCACACCCAACAGAACAACTGCTCTGGGCAAATGGTCCAAAGAAATCTGAGATGATGTAGACATGATTGCTATTGCAAGTGGTGGTGACATGAGCAGAAGTATTACCTTAAAAATGCAGTAACAAGAAAGGATCTTTTATTTCCAGGACATGTATAATTCCAGGCACGAGGAACATATTATCCATTTTGTGTTCTTTGCATCTCATTGATTTGTATAGTGCTTCAGACAGTGGTTCAGACTAACTTCTAGAGAGTCAGGGCTAAGGAGAGACTCCACCCATTGAGTGGATTTGGACATGCACAGGCTATAGGCAGTTTCTACACCACTCATTCCCCTGGCCATTTAACTCTTGCTCACCTTCACCACCTGGGACCACAGCAGGTTACAGTCTGCACCTCTCATCTCTCACTTCCAGAACTCGAGACTTCAGTGGATTAGTAACTGCACAGAAATGTACTCACTAATGAGTTCATAATTATTACAGAAGTAGGTAATGTTGAAAATGCCTTTTACTTGACAGAAATCCTTGGTAGATAGTTATATGTGGTTATTTTGGAGAGATTGGCTTGAGATTCTTTGAAGGGCTGGGAACGTAGTTTTCCAATAATGAAATAATTTTAAAATAATGAAACCTAGGATCTGAAAATTCTATCAGCTTTTTAGGAAGGGATGAGATTTCAAGAATGAGAGGTGCCTCATTTGTAGGATTTTGTAGGATTTTCATCTATGTAGGATTTTCACCCTATACCTGATACAGAGAAGTTTGGCTATAATTTTTTGGGGGTGAGCAAGTCTCTCCCATAAAATGATTTTTTTTTCATAAAATGATTTTTAAAAGACACTTGACATTTGAGAAGGTTTAGCCTGTGGTTTTTATAAGTCCCTGGGGTTAACATTACCTTTACAGTATATCATTTCTCCATGAAAGTCTTAGATTCTAAGACCGTAGAGAGTCATGGTGTGGTGTGCTTTCAGATCAGGCTTTGAAGGCCCTAACTTCCACTTATCAGCCTTATTGATTTTTCAGAACATTTAAAACATGTATGTTGTACACTTTGGGCTCTTAAGAATAGTCAAAACTATAATATTAAATGTGTTAGAGATCTCTTGCAGTGATGGGAAGGAAGCATCCTAAACCACATACATCTTCCTCACATCAGATTCTTGTAAGCCCCCTCCCAATCTTCCCAAGTTAGAAGTCACTGTTATTAAATGGGGTTGTGGGTAAGATCCTTCAGGTGTATTGAGACAGAAGAAAGGTTGAGAATCACACTGTATTTTTTATCTCCTCTCCACCCATCACCTGCAATTTGAAAGTGCTTTGCTTTCTGATGAAGAGATTTTCTTTTAATTTGGAAGACAATTGGATGTCTCTTACCTCTTTTCAGGTTTATGAGCTCTTCTGAAAGCAGAATGCCATTGCTTCCATGTTCTGATCATTCAGAGATTGGGAAGATACAGTTCCTGCCTTTCATTTTTGTCAAGTGGAGCAGACATAGGTCAGTAGTTACAGTGTGCCACTCAGAGGTGAGTGTGTGGCACTGACCTCAGCCTGGGAGGGGAGGAATTAGGTGGGCAAGAAAGGTACGTCCGATCCAGGTGCCTAGGGATCTGTGGCTTTTTTGTAAATTGTAGATTTTACAAAGATAGTATCAAGCAAGTATGTTACACCTTTCTTCAGAGGTCTGTCCTTACTTTTGGATGGTGCTTCTCTTGTTTTCCTTCTCCTTGTCCATCTCCCCCTCAATTGGTTGGGTGTTTGGGATATAAAAGAAGTCAGAGGGTAGGAAACTTTGAGTGGCAGAGTAACATGACAGGTTTACCAAGAAGTAATGAATGTACTTAGGAAATCCACCTCTAAAAACTAAGTTCCTTCTTTGTTGAAATGCCCAGCTGGGAAACCTCAGTTTTGTTGACTGAGTGCTTTCCCAGTGAATGGATTATAGTCTTGTCTCCAAACCAGTCTTTTTTAATTTAAGGGTATTTCTTAAGCCTAGGAATGAGCATGGAGGAACAACAAAATTAGAATCCGAGTTCCTATTACAAAAGCATTTTTATTGGCTCTATCTGCTTGGGTGCATGTTGTTTGAGCTGCATGCTGTATAGTTGAATTGTCACAATTCAAATCAATGATAGTTTAATTCCACCGGGATTTGATTAAGATGGAAATGGAGCAGAAAAACCTGATCTGTCAAAGTCTGGGAGAATGAAGAGAAAGCAATCCGTGAATGTGGCATAATTTTTTCCTGGGATTGAGGGTAGCAGGAAACAAGGAGTGAAGTAGTGGGACATGATATATGTGACAAGAACTACCACCTGTGCAGTAGCAACTCTGAAGTAATTCCTAACTTGAGGCATTGTACCCAGCTCATTGTCATGCTCCTTCTAGGAGACTTGATGACAGAGAAGATGCTGACTGGTTGGAGTCTTCTTCCCAAATCACCAACTCTCATCTTACACTTAGATTCCTTAACCATTGTTTGCAGTGAAGCATGTGTATGTAAGAGTTCAAATCTCTGAAAACTTGAAAAGTAATCAATTACCTAAAAGTAGTCCATTACTATTCCTTTCATGTCTCAACACACTAGAGGACAGTGTTTTAAAAACTGGACTTGGTTGTCTGGAGACTAAGAAAACAGAGTCCTTGAAGTCAAGCCAACTCTGCTATTAGCCTCCTAAAGGAAAAGGTAGATAGAACAGGTCTTGTTAGCAAAATAAATTCAAGACCTACTTAATCTACCAACAGCAATTACATACTTTGCATTGGAAAATAGGAACAGTAAATTAAGAGATTGGAAAGGGTGGGAGAAGGTAGTGAACCCATGAGACTCTCATTGTACTGGTGGGAAGGTGACTGGAAATTGGAGAAGTTGTTCAAGAAGTGGAGGACAGGTCCTCTCCTGGAGCGCAGCCTTCAGAGGGTCCAGCACGTTTTCTGGTTAGATGAGCCTCCTTGGACAGAGACCAGCACAGTCCCGTTTACAGAATGCTGTGTCACAGTGAACTGTGCTCCAGAGCAACTGCCAGCGTGTGAGCCATGTGAGTTAGGATTCTGACAAATACTGGAGGAAGAGAAGTCTTAAAGAAAAGGCCTTGGTACTCATGTAATCTCTCTGCTTTATACTGATCACCAAGCATGTGCTTCTGAGATATTTTATTGGATGTGTACAAGTGATTGCATATCATTGTCTGAACCAGCAGGAAGTCAACTATTAAACATACACTTTTCCAAAAAAGGCAATTTAATTTTACCAGGAACCAATGTCATCTTATATCCCAAGTCTCCAACCAACTTTCCAGTCCCTTCACCAGGTGTCTTAAAATCTGACTTCTGAATTACTAAGCCCATGTTAGTTTACACTAGGATTCTGTGGTTATTCTCCATATTCTTGTTCCCCTTTATTGAGGGAAGCCTAAGCTTATGTTAATAACTTGCTCAAGGGTTATAAAGTGATACAGGTAAGAACAGATTGACATGTTTTAACTGCAGAGTCAGGGATTGTAGCTATAATGATCTGACTTTTAAAAAAATATTTTTTTTGTTTTGTCTTTTAACAGATTTATCAGCAGGTTGCTGGTGAACATGGCCTTGAGGTAAATCCTGCCCCTTGTTGAAATTTAATTTCAGTAGATTATTCATGGTATTTTAGGAATTGGAATATTTTACAGAAAAAGTTTTGTTTGGTTCTGTTCTAGTTATTTTTTTTTTCTTCTTGTAGAAGAAACATGTTTAATCAAAAGTTCTTTATGCTGAATAATTGTGATGCTTTAAGCTGGTCATCTGCCTTAAGTGGATCTTAAATGTTAATGGTCAGTGGCAGTTCTAGATTTTTTTTTTCTTGGTCAAATAAAAATTTCACTTAAACCTTATAGGTGTTAAGTTTTTATCATTTTATTCATGTTCGTATTACATGTGAAATATTCCATAAAGCCTGTTAGAATCCTGAATTCAGGCTTGCCTATGATATCCTACTTCCTACCTGGCAGTTCCTATGTTGGTAGCTGAGAACAGTTTTGAATACACACATGTGTCTATAACTTGAACTATCTCTGTGCTTCATTGGCTATACTTTCCTTATTTCTGGGTAGTGATCCAGCTTGGCAGGGCAGGAGTGTGTGTACACATAAGGAGCTGTGAGATCATCAAGGTGACTTGTTAATTCAAGTATCTGAGCTGCTGTTAATATCAATAGGCAGAGCAGTGGTTGGATGAAGAAGATACTAATTTAGTCTATATGTGGTATGTACCTGTTTGTGACATGTTAGCCGTTAGGGGTTGAATGATGAACAAAACACTGCCTGCCTTCATGGAATTGGGCCTGGTAGAGGTCATTTCAAAGTTTAAGTGGGGTAAGTCCTTAGAACGGGGTGTTCAGAGTGCTCATTGCAGTGCCATGAACTGCCGGGAAGATAGGAGAGGGGAAGGCACATCTGGTTAGGTGGTGCTGGTCCATGGCTTCCCTGGTTCTGATTGGGGACAGCTCCCTGCCTCCTCAAGTCTGTTACTGGTGCTAGTGACATGTCACAGATGTGCTGCAGCCATTAACACTTATGCATCTTTTCCCTTCCTTTCCACTGCCCCTCATCCCGAGCTCTGAAGGCCTTGGAGATTCAGGTAACTTTGCATATAAACAATAGATGTGTACAATTTGACAACTTGAAAGACCTCTGGGTTCATGTTGGCTGAGCTCTCGTTTTACATCTGGGCCTGGTAATGACCAGCCTATCGTCACACAGGCGGCAGTGCACAGGACTGGAATCCGGGTCAGGTGAAATAAGTGTCAGTGCACTAGTCTGCCAGATGAGAATGTGAGCCATAAGTTGTGCTCGGTGCATGGTGCTTGAATGCCAAGTCCAACCAGTCGAGGGGCGAGTGCTGAGAGGGGTAGGTACGGAAGTCGGGGATCAAAATGGTCTAATAGAAAGCAACATGCTTTGGCATTTCAATGCCATTATGCATCTTCAGACACCCAGGCTTTTCCAAAGAAAAACACGGATGCACAAAGCGGTAGAACTGACAGCTGAATGTGTATAGATGCTGAGAAATGTCCACATTGAAAAATGACAATTTTGAATTTTCATAGTCTAACAGAATGCCAATCTTCCTGGGGGACACTGTTATTCTTATGTCTGGAGTCATCTTGTTATGCAGGAACTCATACTTATGCCTGAAAATTAAATGTTGATACAACAAAGTTTCAGAAATTCTGTCTGGATTATTTGCAGAACATTTCATATTAATTTTATTCATATACTCCTATGCTTATGTTATTTTTTTAACTGATTACCAAAAAAGGCCCTTTCCAAAATTATATATCTTTTCTAAAATTTGTCCTAAGAGACTTTTATTTTTTAACTCCATTTGTTTTCAAGCAATCTGTTAACCTAAAATACTTAGGTACAGTAACATAAATTCTTACTACATAAAAATTTGTATAGATATAGGTGTTTTGGAAATTTAGATTTTTAAGGTTCAGATGTATAAAACCTTTGTAATAAAGACATTTGAAACAGGCAGCCTCATGATCTTTCATGGAATAAAATGAGCCTCTTGGTAGAATCTGTGCACAAGCAAGCACTCACTCAGGCACCATTCTCAAACCTTCAGCCTTAGCAGGGCCCCCTGGGGGCCGTCTCCATTTACTGCAGTGCCCTCTCGCCAGGCTCTGTATCCTTTGTGCTTTGAAGAATGGCCTGAACTGAAACCAGCCACAGGAACTTCTACCCCTGCTATGTGCAGACATTTGCAGAGCTCAGCAGCAGCACGCTGGTCCACATGCCTGGGAGGAGCACTTGGAATAGCCTTCAGTGCATCAGGCCAAGGCAGCCTGTCTCCAGCACGAGTCACCTCATCTTCTCCTCTGCTGCTCCTTTCCTTAACTAAGAAGCCACTCTTCCCTCTACCTCCTCCCACCACAGTAGAGTCAAGACTAAAGCAAGAAATACGAATCAGCTAAGATACCCAGCCCTCACCCTCCACTTGTAACTCGGTCCCTCTCATGTGTCTTTCGAAGATGGGACTGCAAGAAATTGCTCTGGCTCCAGTGCTCGGCTCTTGTCCTTCCTTTTTCATGCCATCTCATGTTCCCATCCTCTTCTGTCCTCTGACTTCCCGTCCCTCCCACTATACACAGACCCCTACTCTTCCTTTATTCTCTCTCTTGTTTTCCTCTACCATTCATTTTTCTTTTTATAGGAGAGGACACTTTGATTTTTAGTCTTATTTCAGGCAGGATCCAAATAAACCATTTGGCTCAGTGCCTGGTATTTGTATTCCTCAAACTGGGTCTGAGGTTCAGTAAAGTCCATTCTAATCCAGATATCTTACAGGGGGCAAGCTGGTCTTCCCACATACGTGTGGGCATGACAGATAGTGTTTAACCATGATGGAGGCTCATGAGCAGAGAACATCGGATCAAATGTTAATAGGATTCGGCAAGCCAACGAGGGTCAGAGGCCCCATGGTAGAAGAGGTACTAGGAAAATAGGATGAATTTTTACAATTTTTGAGGTGAAGGGCGGTTGCAACGATGGCTTTCTAAGTCTCACAATGTCTACCCCACTGGGGGCCTCTTTTTGGAACTAATCCATGCATAGAGGACAGAGTGCTTAGCAGCAGAAGCAAACTGGAATGAGCCATAACTATTTTAAGCCTCTGCCCACTTACAAAGATGGAATTGGGCTTTCAGATCAAACTATCCGTTTAATAACATGAGTTCAACATGAAAAACCAATTACTTAGTGGTTAAGAATGCTGTCCTTGGAGCCAGACTGCCTGGATTTGACTTTAAGCTCTGAAAACATTGGATAGATGACATGACTGTTATGAGGCATAGTTTTGTTTTTTGTTTTTTTTTTTTTTTAATGGGATAATAGAAGTAAATGGGCTAGTACACATTTAAGAGTGTGGAACAGTGCTTGACACAGAACAAGCTCTCCATGAATTTTAACTATTTTAATCCGAAAGAAAAGTACCCAAAACTGCTCTTTCTCTTCTCATCTGGACTTTACAGAGAAGGGCTGGTAAAGAGACCTGTAATACCCTAAAAAGATTTACGAAACGTACTGTAGGCCTTAATTATTGCTAGTGAAACCTCTTGATCTGTTCTTTCAAAACAAACTTTAATGTTGGGTATCCAGATTTTACTTTACCTCGATGATGCAAATCTGTGCCTCATGCACCAAGACAGGCAGTTTGCTCCCAGGTCGTCCTGCTTAGGGACATCTTCAAAGGCCACACCCACCGTGTAGTCCACACGCTCATCCACCTCCACCTCCCAGTAATGGCGCCCTCTGATTGGAATTAGATTCCCCATGACAGCAACACACCTGGGTTTAGAAAGTGGAAACATGTGCTTTGGGGTGACCCAAGCCTGGCTGTGCAGGTGAGTGATCCCAGTGGTTGGGGTCGGTAGGAGGTAGCCTATAAATGTGGAGGTAGGTGTTCTGAACCACCTCCCTTGTGAAGCGACACACCCTCAGTTCATGATGCTGATGATTACAAGAGGATTATTACCCTGCTGGTATGGAGGCAGGATAGAAAAGCCGCTGTATTTTTAAATGACTGGCCTTTTTAGTACAAAAATAAAAGTTTGGAATTACTTGTTGAAGGGGGGGGGCACCTGGCTGGCTCAGTCACTTAAGCATCTGCCTTCAGCTCAGGTCGTCATCTCCGGGTCTTGGGACTGAGTCCTGCATCAGGCTCCCTGCTCAGCACAGAGTGCTTCTCCTCCCTCTGCCTCCCACCCCTGACCATATGTGCACTCGCGCTCTTTCTCAAATAAATAAAATCCTTAAAAAGGGGTGGGGGAAGGGATTGAAACCTCAAGGAACTCCGTGTAGTCCAGGGAACCACGTGCTTGAAGTTCAGGACCTAGTCAGCACTGCTGGTGCTAGGACACTAGCATGGGGGGCAGAGAGGTGATGTATATCTTCCAGGCGGCTACAAGCATAATAACAGGGATTCACATCACAGGGGCAGACCCAAATAGAGCAAATGGCAAATTCCTCACAAATGATGCTACCAGGAACAATTAGGTTTACAAAGGTCAGAGTTCCGTTTTGTTTTACAACAATACAACATTCTTTAGAGAAAGGTTCTTGTTGGTAGTTGGACGACATCAGTATCTCCAAAATATTCCACCTCCCGCAGGAGACTCCTACATTAGCCAAACTCTGTGGCTCCCCAAATCCCTTGGCAGATTTGTTTAGCTGTCATTAACACATGATGTCTATTCAAACCTCAAGCTCTTATTTAAAGAAAGGCAGACTGCAGACATGCAGTGCCTCATTTGGATGTGCCTGGAGTCTTGGAAGCTTGACTACATACATTCTCCTACAAATGGACCTTGAGAGTTTCGGGGGCGGGGTCCAAAGGTGAGTACAGCTACTCCTACACCCTTGACAGGGTGACCTTGACCTTGACTCCTACATCCTCTATCAGGGAAGGTCCTCTTCGACCCAGCCTGCAGCTTTGGGAGGCTCACACAGGGGAGCAGCAGAGGAGCAAGGGGACTCCTGCCTCATCAGCCAGCCCAGCTGCACCAACCCTGGCGATCTGTAGGGTGACATGTTGCAACCAGATCACCCTCACGTACTCAGACCCCAAGTTCTGAAGGCCAAGCAAAGCTTTGGGAAGGAGGCTGCAAGTGAAGGAACTCCTCTGTAAAACGAAGCGTCTCTACCTCAAGCTCCAGACCCACATCTCCACCCCCTGCTGTCTCTTTCAGAATTTCCCAAACAGGACTTCTCCATTCCTACCCCTCCCACTGACCAAACACGTGGGTTATTTACCCCACGTTTTCTCCATTTTGGTTAATAGGCTCATTATCCACCCAGTAACCCCCAGGCAGCAAACTAGGAGAGGAATAATGCAGTGTTACAAGTTTAGCTTCTAGTTTAACCTATCTGTGTTCTTCCACTGCTTTGACTTTTCTATTTCAGTAATGTATGTTTGCCCCTTAAGTCTGCTTTTAGTATTCAGAAAGAATGAAGGCATAAGTAAATGGTTTCAGCATGAACTGAGCACTAAGGTCTGCAAACAGCTACAGATCTGGACAGATGGCGCACATCTTTGCAGGACCACCCCTCCCTCAGGTCATGCACTAGCACAATCCCTGTCTCTTCCACCAATGCTAGCTCAGATTCCATCCTGGGTTTTCATCAGTTTTATTTTTTTAATGATTTTATTTATTCATGAGACACATACACACACACACACACACACACACAGGCAGAGGGAGAAGCAGGCTCCCTGCGGAGAGCCTGATGTGGGACTAGATCCCAGGACCCCAGGATCATGACCTGAAGGCAGACGCTCAACCTCTGAGCCACCCAGGTGTCCCTTCATCAGGAATTTTAAAATAAGGTTTCACAGTGTAGGAGAGGGAGCACGGGCCAAGCCCTGGGAGACCTACCTCCTTGCTTGGCTCTCCCGCTTCCTGTCAGTGTGACTCTCATCACCGCTTCATGGTCAGACTTGCCCCGCTTAGTCACCCAGGACCCAACCTCAGAGGCCCACGTGTCTTCAGCTCACACCAGCCAGACCCTTGCCCTCCACCTCCCCAGCCTCCCCTCCCCACCAGACCCCTCGCCCCATGTCCATTTCTGGGGCCTCTTTCCATCTTCAAGGCGGCATCTGTCCTAATCTATGTTTCCCTGAACTACAGCAAGGATTAGGGAGGTTCACAGAACATTCCAGTGGAATGTATTTATAAAAGCCTTAAATGAGCATGAATCAGCAAAAATTGCTAGATATTCAAAAATTCAGGGCACCTGGGTGACTCAATCAGTTAAACAGCTGCCTTCAGCTCAGGTCATGATCCCAGGGTCCTGGGATCGAGCTCCACATCCGTCTCCCTGCTCAGTGGAGAACCTGCTTCTCTCTCTCTGCCCCTGTCCCTGCTCATGCTGTCTTTCTCAAACAAAGTACCTGGTAAACCGGGTGTTACTAGGGAGCGGCTCCTTTGTGAGGGTTTTCCTTTCGCTTCGCACAACAGTCAACCCGTCTTCAGAGATGGTCAGCCAGGGATGGCAGGTGTGCTCATTCAGGTGAAAGCAGCTGCCTGCGAAGGCGGAAACACATGCAGACCCAGCCCATCACTCCATCACTGCTGCCAGCTCCTCTCGGAAGCCTGGGGCTTGTGGGGTCCCGCCCCCCCACCCTGTTACTAATGAGTGGGGCAGCTACTCCCCCACGGGGGTGGGGGGGCGTCCCTGTGCCTTGCACCCAGCTAGCGATCTGCAAGTCTTAGCTCATTCAATCCTCACAATTACCCTTAGAAACAGCTGTTACATTTGCACTTCTAGAGGAAAACACCGAGGCACCAGGTTGTTAAAAAGAACAGGCAAATGACAGAACTCAAATTTGAATCCCCAGGCCCTCTGATTCCGGAGACTTTGTTCTTTGTTACAGCCAGGAGGCTGTAAACACCTGCAGGCAGACAGGAGCCTCTAATCCACCTGCCAGGGGAAATAGGAATTGGGATTCTTAATGATCAGTTGGACAAAAGGAAGTAAAATTCAACATTTCACTTAAGGCTGTGGGGGAGAGACCTCCCCAAATCACAGTTAAAACAAAGCTCGCCACAAAGTGGTACGGAATAGATTAACAAATTATTTTGTAAAAAATCCATCATATAAGAGCACAGTGGCTCATTCTACACTCCTGTGTCTTAACCAAGTTCTGTTTTTCTCAAGTTCCTATCCTGTCACTCCTCTTCATTTCAAACCTGAGTTTGGGCATCACCATCAAGCTGTTCACAATTATTTTCACAGTTAGCTGCTCCTGGAAATTTCATTTACTGTCTGCACTCTCCAGCAAGGGGCAGGCCGGGTCTTCCCCACCCCCACTGTCCCAGGCTGATGCAGCACATGGTCCTTGCTCCTGGTGCGCTAGTTCTAACAGAGGAGCATTACAAAAAAAAAAAAAAAAAAAAAGATGTTTTTATTTGTTTGAGAAAGACAGCATGAGCAGGGACAGGGGCAGAGGGAGAGGGAGAAGCAGGCTCTCCACCAAGCAGGGAGACCAATGTGGAGGCTCAGGTCGTGATGCTGGGGTCCTAGAAATGAGTCCTGCATTGGGCTCCCCGCATGGAGCTTGCTTCTCCCTCTGCCTGTGTCTCTGCCTCTCTCTCTCTCATGAATAAATAAATAAAATCTTTAAAAAATAAATAAAAGCCCAATGCGGAGCTTGACCTCACGACCCTGAGCTCAAGACCTAAGCTGAGGTGAAGAGTTTGATGCTAAGCTGACTGAGCCGCTCAGGCACCCCTTCTTCCATAAATACACTCTTAAAAAGAATTATATGAACAAACTAATTCGGAGATGACTGAGTAATCAAGAACTGGCTGTACCTTTTGCTCTGTTCTCTTTTACTGAAACAGCCAGAATTTGACATTTCAAAACACTAGGTCAGCACAGAAAATGAGAAGGGCCAGCCAAGTAAAGGCAGGCCCTGGGCCAACAGAATAGAAAAACCAGAGTCCTAATCCCATCACTAGCCTGCACCAGCTCTGGGGCCTTTGGTGACCACTCAGCTTGTTTTTCCCATCTGCGTGGAAGAAACACCATGGGAATTAATCACACACCTTTCCTCCTAGCATTGGAAATGAGGACAAATGACACAATGTTCCTTAGGGAATGATCCCAGTCAAGAGTATGTCATCCTCAGAGCCCAGACCTAGCTCCCTGCTTCTGCTTCCTACCTGCTGGCCACCCAGTCAGCCGGCTGAGCTGGACTGGCTCTGTGCTGTGTGGGGAGAGCCACTGGGCTCCAGTGCACCATGACAGAGCTCAGAACCCACAGCTAAGCACTGCCAAGAAACCGGAGGTATGGAATGTTGCTGGTGATGTCGCTGCTCATTCAGGATCTGGACAGGACACATGATAGTCATATGACAGGAGTACAGCAAGTAAGAAGGGGAAGTGGCTGGGGCTTGGGGGTGTGGGCACCCATCAGGGCCAGACAGGGTGTAGGGAGAGGCTGAGCAGCCAGGTCCAAGCTGGGCCTGTGGTGGGTGGGAGATTCTTGGGCTGAAAGCAAGAACAGGAGACAAGCCAAGGCCAACAGCTCTTGCTGGGAATAAAGACGCCATCCCAAGGGTGGTATGTGGCCTGAGTGAGCTGTGAGGTGTCTGGACCCCCCAGATCTGGCTGACAAGCCTCTAGTCTACCTGAGGACATGGAGAAAACCCCTGAGTGCTAACGTTTGCTTTGCCACCAAACTGCTCTGAGTTGGGCCTGAGTACTCCCGTCTATAGAGTGGGACCACAGGGACTCTATCCCCTGACCCCCTTCCTGGCCTGACTTGCCACATTTTCCAGCCAAGTCATGCAGCACTGGCCTTCCACAGAGTGGCTCCCTTAGGTCCTAGGGAGCTTGCAGCCTGGGCACGTACCAGTGGTGTAGATCGTCACGGGGTCACTCCTTGCACTGGCCCCCCCCATGTTGAGGGCTCGCACGTAGACCGTGTAGCTCTGCCTGGGATGCAGCTGCACCAGGGACTCGCAAGTGGGGATGCCCACAACTGACCTGGGCAAAAAGGCAGGGCCGCAGTTACTGAACGGTGGGGCCTGGCGTCCAGTTTCCAAGCAGAGAGTGTAAACCCAGCCTCACACCCCTGTCCTCCCACCAACAGCAGCACAGCCAGGAGTGTTTCCTCCCACTTTCCTTGTTCTTTGTCACTCCTTGTGTTTGGTCTCTCTTGCCTCCGGGTTCCCAACCCTGGTGTCCCAGGCACCTCGAGCCACGCTTGGCCTCTGATGCCGTGTCTGTGGAGGCAGGCAAGATGGGGATGCGGCATGCCCCCAGCTGTCTGATGGGTCAGAACCCCGCTGCAGGCAGGGGCTGAGGACCACCTCCTGAAGCCCAGCTCTGGGTCCCGACCAGGCCTCAGTCTGTGTTTATAAACAGACAGAAGCCCCCTGGGAAAAACCCGATGTATTTAAATTCTACAACACACAATACACACCCCTAATTGCCACTGACTATTCCTGCAACTGTTAAACCCATTTCAGCCCAGGGGGAGAGAGAAGACTTTGGGGTGATGCCTGTTCACGAATTCAACACCCTCACCCGAGGCCTGGGTGTCCAGGTCATCCTGAAGGCTGCAGCTCCAGGCCAGAGGGGCACTTTCACACTTCATCCAATTAATATTAACCAGACACCTTAGGCTCCAGGCACCATAGAGGGAGGCTCTGGGGAAAACTGAATGTAGTCCTGCCCTCACAGAGCTACAGTCTGGATGGGTAGAGAGGCACCCTTCAAGCCATCACTGGAAAAAATGTAAGGTGGTAACCGTGACATGGTGATGGCATACTACAGGGTGCATGATGCTGGAGAGGTGACTTCTGAGCTGAGACCTGGAGAATGACTTGGAAGTAACTAGGATGAAATGGGGACAGGAGTGTCCTACATGGAGTCACACAGCACATGGCAGGAAGGAGCACGGGAAGTAGGAGAACTAAAATAGGACAGTGTGGCTGGATCCAGAGAGGGAAGAGAAGCTGGTACAAGATGAGCTCGAGATGCAGGAAAGGCCTAGTCTAGGAAGGGATTTTGTCTTTTCTTCAAGATGCTTAGGTTTGTACTAGAGAACAGGGACTACCCCAGGTCACCTCAGTCACCGACCAGCCTTCTGGTGACCCCCATCATTATGGGCTGGTCCCAGGCGTCAGGGGCTCCTAAAGTATCAGCACAGATTGCAAAGAAAATCCAGATCATTCAGGTGGCCAGAACTGTTGGGCCGCTCCCGCCTCATTCCTGAGTATCTCTGGAAGTAACCCTGATGTGGCTGTGGATGCATGGATTCTACCAGGAGCAGAGGGTGCTCAGGATAGATGGCCGGGCTCCAAGCCTACATTCAGCATAGAAGAATCCGTCCTTCCTAGCAGTTGACACCAACCCTGTCTCCTCCCTCTCTCCAGAGCCCTTGGAGGTGGTGGCTGGTCCTGGGCTGCCCGGATGGTTCATTCCCTTTCCACAAACTCCAGGACTGCCCAGTGGTGAACCAGAGGTGTGTCCATTTGTCCCCCACTGCACACAGCTGCATGCTTGTGGGATCTGCAGGCACCCTGTGCGTGCTGAGTCCAGCCCTCATCCGCTTGTGAACACGTTCAGCTCCACCAGCCGGGGGCGATATAAGCCTTCCGACGGCCTTCCTCCATAGACATGAGGTTCTTTGTACGCTGAACTCTAACCTCTCGTTTTGCCTCAGGATGCTCTCCCTCTCCTGTAAATTCCAGCCTGGTGGGTCTTTTGGTTTCTCCAGCACCCCATACGCTTGCTTGTTGTCTTGTTTTTCTATTTGCCCCCGCTTGATGGCCAGCTCTGTGGGGGACCCCAGCACAGGACACAGCACCACCTATGCCCACAATACTTTTAGGAATAATGAACTGTAAATCGTTTTTGGGCTGAGAAAGCCAACCCGACACTTAAACTATTTATTCACCTAACATGTGCCTTCAGTAATAACATTCCTGCAACTTCTCATGAAATCGAAGCAGCCCCAAATTAAGGTTCCCATGTACCCCAAACTCCAACCACCGACCCCCACTCTAGGCCCCATGCATTGCCTGAGCTGGGTCACCACATGAGGTGTCAAGGCCTCTTGCTCCCAGCAAACATCCCCCCCGTGACTCACTCGGTTACACCTGAGGGTTCAGGCGTTTCTGCCTGGGTCAGTTCCACTGTGTAAGAATCCACGGGATTCAGGTTTCCGGACTCCCAGCAAATCAGCGCTGCCTCCTCGCAGCTCTGTATCTCTTTGCTTTTTATGATGGGCGGGGAAGGCGCTAGGTGCAGGACAAAGGGAGAGGAAGACAGCCATGTGTCCGGCGCGGGGCCACACAGCATGGCCACTGTCCTCGCACAGATGAGATTCAGTGCAAGAAAAAGCAAAGCAGGCGCAACAGACAGAGGCTCTGTGCCCCCCTCCCACCTCCCGCCAAATTCGTGTGCTGAAAACCTACTTCCCCACATTATGGTGTGTGGGATCTCTGGGAGAGGAGAGGGAGGACGTCTTTTATAAAAGAGAATGAAAGAGCTCTGTGGCCCCTTTCTGCTGTGTGAGGACACAGCTGGAACACAGCCCACCATCTCCAAACCAGGAAGGCTTCTCATCAGACACTGAATATGCCAACACCTTGATCTTGGACCTTCCAGCCTCCACAACTGAGAGAAATAAACATGTGTCGGTTATAAGCCACTCTGTCTGTGGTGTTCTGTTACGGCCACCCAAATGGACAAAGACAGAGAATCCCCCTCCCATGTTCCTGGAGCAGAAGGTGGCTGAAGGCTTCTATGGCCCTGCGATTAGGAGCAGGGCTTTTTTGACATTTTGAGACCAACTCTGAGCGAATGTCCCTTCCATCCTCGGAATACAGATTGCACATATTGCATGAAAGAAAATATACAGCTATTCCTGCCCTGCCAAATAAGATCGAGGGTCTTGCCACATCTAGAAAGCTGTGACTCCTGTGTCCCCCTGGAATGAAGGTCCTGCTCCAGAAACAAGTGACCCCAATTACCTGTCATGTACACCACACACTCGCTGGCAGGGCTGGGGCCAGTCCTGTTCTGAGCCGTGACCCAAAATTCATACTGGGTATTTGGCATAAGATTTGTCACTGAGCAATATGTTTCTTTGACAGTCATTGTAAACTCTGGGGGAAAAAAAAAAAAAGGACATGATTCAACCCTAAAAATAGGCCAATAGCTCCAAATTAGTTGTGCTGAATCTCCCTGTAGTAGATTACAAAATTGGCCACAGATTCCTCCCACCCCTACACGTGCACTCCTCTGCAGTTTGACTCCCTACTCTTTCAAGAGGTTCATTTTTTCCTGCCCACCCTTGATGGGCTCAGCCATGTGACTTGCTGTAGCCGGTGGGATAGCAGCAAACAGGATGCTAGCAGAGGCTTGGGGAATGCCCGTGAGCAGGCGCTTGTCTTCTTGCTGCTGAGAACACATCCATTTCCATGTGAACAGGCCCAAACCAGACTTCTGGACAATGAGACCAGGTGGACAGAGGGCCCCAGACATCCAGGTCATCTCATCCATCCCAGCCAAGTCCCCAGATTTGTAAGTGAGGCTGTCCTAGACCATCCAGCCCTACTCAAGCCCAGACCAGAAGAATGGACAGCCAACTCACAGAATTATAAGAAACAGTTTATGTTTGTCATGTTAAGCAATAAGTTATATATAGATGCATACAGTAGAGTGGGCTAAGGTGTTCTAACTGATACACCTCCAAACCTCCCCAGATTCTTGGAAGGCAGTGATATGTCATTAATCCACCCTCTGATAACAGTTCTTTTATTACAAAGTGGTCCATTAAAAAGATCTTCACAGACGGTCATGACACAGCCCAAATATCCTGGCTTCCTCTGTGTATCTTCATAGAGTGCCGGCAGGGTCAATTCACGACAAGAGTTGGGCTTAGTCAGGTCTGGCTTCTTGGTCTCTGATCTCCTGTTCCAAGTCTTCCTCTTTCCCCACTATACCCTAACTTTAGTCTTTGTTCAGACCACCCTCACCATCTGTTCACCTTATCCCGACCTCACTCAGCATCAGTTAGACTTACTTTCCTTAAGAATTCCCGTTCCTTCCTACATCCTGGGCAGAAAAACAGTCCTCACTTTCAGCACTTTGACCCCTCCACCTGCCTGGCCTGGTACAGCGAGCAAAGCTCTGTACAGGGGGGATCCCTGGGTGGTTCAGCGGTTTGGCGCCTGCCTTTGGCCCAGGGCACGATCCTGCAGTCCCGGGATTGAGTCCCGTGTTGGGCTCCTGGCATGGAGCCTGCTTCTCCCTCTGCCTGTGTCTCTGCCTCTCTCTCTCTCTCTCTCCCTCTCCCTATCATGAATAAATAAAATCTTAAAAAAAAAAACTCTGTATAGGGAGGCTGCAGACTTGATTCTTGTCCTGGTTCTGCTATCACCCATGTGTCCCCATGGACAGCTTGTTTCTCTCCGGGGTCTCAGTCTCTGTATTCATAAAGGGGAAATCCCTAAGGCCCTGCCACCAATCTCACTCTGCCTCCATGCACACAGGACAGGTCTTTCCAGGCTAGCCTGGGTCCTGGAATTCCTTCAGGCACTCAACTAGGGCTCCTCCACTGTCTGGGCCTCTCTTCTCAACAGGCATATGGCTTATCTGTTATGTGGGGTGGGGGGAGGCAACTACCCCGGGCCTAGCCCCACACCAGCCAGTTCCATTTCCTGGGGAGGAGGATGGGCTGCCCACTGGGAGATGAGGGTCCATTCCCAGGAGGTTGCTCAACCTGGGAATGTGAATCTGAGCAGCAGTGGCCCTTCCAGGCTGCAGAGGCCCCCTCACCCTTCATGGGGGTCTCCGTGCTACCCCTCCAGTTTCTACCAGCACAGCGTTGCTGAGAAGAGCCAGCCTACCCTCCCCTCACATGCTAGGCCCACTGGAACTCAGACAGCCCAATTGGGCCTCCTCCAGGACAGGCGTCCCCACCCTTCGTGCACACAGGGCATCCAGGGCACCCAGGGCTTCATCCCAAGGGCAACTCTGACCTGACAGCTCTATCTACACTCCAGACACCTTAGCCTGGCCTTGTAACTCTCCCAGCCAGGCCCCAATTTGCCTTTCTCACCCTTTCTGTCACACTCACCTGCCTGCATCCTGTCCTCTGAGTAGCTCCTGGATCATGATAGCTCCAAGGAGCTGGATGCGCAGATGCATCCCACCTCCGCCCTTCTGAGTGCTAGGAAGGCAGGGCCCTAACCTCTGAGGGCCCTCAGCCATTCCAGAGCATGAGTGTGTTCTTAGCAGACCCTCACCTTCTGGGTCCTTCCCAGGTAAGCTGTCCTGCATTGGCCGGTAGGACAGCTGATAGCTCTCCACGGTGTCATCAGAGTATAAGCTCCAGCACACGCGGACAGAGGATCCCGTGGCTGAGTTAGGGGTCTGTGGGTTTATCACTGGAGCAGAAGGAGCTAGATGAAGACAATAGAGAAAGACAAACACAAATGAGAAGCCTTGTAGAGGTGTGGGATGGGCGTGACCCCTGTCATAGGCCTATTGCACCCCCCCCCCCACACACACACACCTACAGGCTTTGGAAGTAGAAGCAGCAGCCCAGATTGGACAAGGTCAGGAAAGCCAAACCCCTCAACCTTGAGTCTGCAAGCAACAACCAGCATGTCCATTCTTCCTCTGACAAATCCATGCAAGCTTGGGGAGAAGGGGTTGGTGACAAATCCCCTCCAGCTTGGGCTGGATTGTGGTTTGCCGGACCTGCCCTAGGTATGGGTCCTTTGGCCCCTTCTACATCATCCAAAGATGGAAGACAGCCAGGACCACAGCAGTGCTATCTGCAGCCCTGAAGTGAACCAAGGAGTGCGAGAAGCCTTCAACAGGGAAGCTCTGTTTTCCTTTGGGGACCCATCCAACAGCCATGTCTTTGTTATAATGAGAGAAGACTGGGTTGGGTGAAATTGTGCTTTTGGGAACCATTATCTTCAGACTCCAGCAACTGCATTGATTCTTTTGTTCTCTGGAGGTTGATACTTCTGTCTTCCCACTCTCCAGACTGACACATATGTAGGAAGCACTGCTTGTTTCCCTCCATGATTCTTCCTTCCAACCCAGCCTTTGTACAACCACCTTAGCTTCCAATTCTGACATTGCTCAGTCCAGGTAAGAGCATGACCAAACTCAAAAGAGTTTATTTAGCCACTGCTCAGCCTTTCTTCCCTGGTCAGGGCCTGGAAGGTCCTAACGTGACAAAGGAGAGGAGGAGGAGGAAGAACTCGTATCCCCAAATGACAAAGTCCGGGATATACAGCATGTGTCCTTCTATACCCTGCAAGGAATGGCCCCGCAGCAAGAACATCAGGAGCTTCAGTAAGAAGAGGGGTGGCCCTGGGGTAGGTACTCCACACAGGAGGCTCCAAATGCAGGCGGGAGGGTGGTAGTCTGCATGGAACCTGGACTTGGGGGTGAAGAGAAGTGTCAATGTTTTTCAAACTCTGACATGGGTGATACTGCCTTTCCTTCCAAATGTCTGGGCCTGATTATTTAGGCAGCACCATCCCTACGATGGGAAAGCTCATCATAGCTCAGTGAAATCACCCCTTGAAAAACACAAATCAAAACCACAATGAGATACCACTTTACCCTGGTGAGAATGGGTAAAATTAACAAGACAGGAAACAACAAATGTTGGTGAGGATGTGGAGAAAGGGGAACTCTCTTGGATTGTTGGTGGGAATGCCAGCTGGTACAGCCGCTCTGGAAAACAGGATGGAAGTTCCTCAAGAAGTTAAAAATAGAAATATCTTATGACCCAGCAATTGCACTACTGGGTATTTGCCCCAAAGATACAGATGTAGTGAAATAAAGGGGCACCTGCACCCCAATGTTCACAGCAGCAATGTCCACAATAGCCAAACTGTGAGAGGAGCCATGATGTCCTTCGACAGATGAATGGATAAAGATGTGGTATATAGATACAATGGGCTATTACTCAGCCATTAGAAAGGACGAATACCTATCATTTACTTTGACATGGATGGAACTGGAGGGTGTTATGCTGAGTAAAATCAATCAGAGAAAACAATTATAATATGGTTTCACTCATATGTGGAATATAAGAAATAGTGAAAGGGACCATAAGGGAAAGGAGGGAAACTGAGTGGAAAAAAATTAGAGAGGAAGACAAACCATGAGAGATTCCTAACTCTGGGAAACAAAGGGTTGCAGAAGGAAAGGTGGGTGGGGGGATGGGGTAGCTGGGTGATGCATATTAAGGAGGGCACATGATGAGATGAGCACTGATGTTACACTGTATGTTGGCAAATTGAACTTAAATTTTATTTATATGTATAAATTACTTAGAGGAAGAAAAAGAAATCATCCCTTGAACCATGAGTCTAAGAATGATGTCCAGTATCCCATCCAGTTGAGGATTAAGTAAACAAATTAATGTATATATTAAAATGATGTTATAGATCAGTACAAGAAAATATTAATCATAATTGTTTTGATAAAATAAGGTTGCAAAACAGAAGAATTCCCTTTTTATTTTAAAAAACTTGTGCAGGGGATCCCTGGGTGGCTCAATGGTTTAGCACCTGCCTTTGGCCCAGGGCGTGATCCTGGAGACCCGGGATTGAGTCCCACATCAGGCTCCCTGCTTGGAGCCTGCTTTTCCCTCTGCCTGTGTCTCCACCTCTCTCCATGTGTTTCTCATGAATAAATAAATAAATTTTTAAAAAATTTAAAAATAATAATAAAAAATTTAAAAAATAGTGCAAAAGAAAAATCTAAATGATATACACAATATTTTTACGATGTAGTTGGGTGTTGGTGAGAAAGAGGTGTGCAGCCAAGAAAAAAAAAAAGAAAACCAAAACCCTGAATACAGGATTATTCTTAGAAATAAATAATCACAATGATATTTTTAGGAGCTTTCTGGTACCATGTGACATGCCATACATGTATTACCTCATGTAATTCTTACCATATCCCAGGAGGCATTATTATGTTCATTTTGCAGACAAGGAAATCAAGACTCAGAGAAGTTAGGTAAGTTGTCCAGAGTCACGCAGCTATGAAGTGGCAGGCCTGGGATTCTCACCAGCTCCACAGGATCCCAAAGCTCACTTCCTAGCCACTGTGCTATTTAAGTAAATAAACTTCAGGCTGCTCACTTGGAGTGACTCAGGCAGAACAGGTGTTTATGAATCTGGGCAGCCTATAAACAAAAAGTATTTCAAGGCTGCCTGGGGCCAAATGTTGGTTGATTCCCTGGAAGTGAGGTGGGTACTTACCCCAGAGGGAGGTCGGCCTCTATTCTCACTCTTACAAGCCATAAAGACATGAAATTTGAGTGAAAAACAAAACAAAACAAAACAACTTTGCTCTTAAATCTTTATGATGTTTTTAACTATCAAAGCTCAGGGAACTTGAACTTTCTGTGAGGTGCACACACAGGGTAAACATGCACCTGGAATGGTGTTAATGGATCCCATCAGCTGCTCTACGTCAGAGAAGTCCAAGGTCTGATCTTCAAAGTCGGGCTGTGCAGAGATTTCCACATCTGTTTCTGTATTCAAGAATTTTCCAAGTCTGTTGGTATAAAAAGACACACTGATAAGAACAAAGGGGTGTACTCCTGGGGGTATGTCTAAGGAGCTGGATGACTGGTAATAGGTGCAAAGAGCCTCTTTGCTGAATTTTTCTTTCTTTATATGAACATGCCGCTGGCTGCCTTCTGCCATCTGCTTTGGTGACTGACCCAGGGGGTCTCCAGTGGGGTTGGGGTGGATTGGTTTCTGCATTTGATGGGAGGGGAAGAGGTGGGGTCATTTTGGGGGGCACGCACCTATGAGTTCCACATCTGTGCCCTCTGGAAGACCTTTTGGGTGCTGACCTGGAGGCTCCCACCCCCAGGCCACCCTAGGCCCCATGATGTACAGATTCTGGGGTTTCTTCTCCATGGGGCCAAGGGTACTCCACCTGCTGACAGTGGACGGGTTCTTTGAATTTTCTTGCCTCTTGGCAGTCATGGGGTTTCTAAGTCGCAGGGGCAGAATTTGAAACCAGGTGTGTCTTTTCCCAGTTCTCTTAATCCTTATATTATCAAGTTTCAGCATTGCTTTACAGACATTGCCTCCTTTAATTCCCATAAAACTATCCTGTCTGCAGATAAGGAAGGTGGATTTTAGACTGGCTGGACTAGCCCAGGGACATCGGGGTAGCAGGATTTGAACTGTCTGATTCCACAACGTGTGTATTTTCTGTGGTACATAGTCTGGATCTTGGCACAGCTTGGGGGTAGGTGCTGGAGACACTGGATCCTGGCTCCTCCTGGTGAAAGGAGGGGCTCATGGAGGAGACCTGACCTCGAGCTTGCTGGCTGGGCCTCTTGCTTCTATCCCTGGGATCCTGAGATTTGGTACTAGCGGGTCCTTGTGACCCCCATCATCCCTCCAAAGCCAGTGCTATTGGATCTTCTGGGCAGACACAAAAGCTGAAACTGGGATCATATACCCAAGTGGAACAAAATCTATTTGGAAGACTAGAGGAGAACAAACAGTATAAGAAAATATATCTCAAGGGGGATCCCTGGGTGGCTCGGCGGTTTGGTGCCTGCCTTTGGCCCAGGGCACGATCCTGGAGTCCCGGGATCGGGTCTCGGTTCGGGCTCCCGGCATGGAGCCTGCTTCTCCCTCCAGTGTCTCTGCCCCTCTCTCTCTTTCTCTCTGTGTCTATCATGAATAAATAAATCTTAAAAAAAAAAAATATATATATATATATGGACAAAAGTATTACCTGTCAGCCATGGCCACGGCGTCCTAAAAAGGAGGAGGAAAAGGAGAAAATATTAAACCAATTTTGGAAATAAATTTCCTTTTTAAAGTATATAATGATAAAAACACATCTTAAAACTGAGCAGCCATAGCCCCCACTCTAGCAAGATCACTGTGCCAAGCCGAGCACTGGCTCCATACTCCTCTCCCAGCTCCTCCCCATGAGCTGTGTGAGCGCTCCCACTACAGGTGCTGTTTCACACAATCAGTTTGAAAGACTGAGTAACCATCCATTGAAGGGGAACTCCATTGTTTATTAAACCACTCCTCTGTTAATGGACATTTTGGCTGTTTCTAAGGTCTCATCATTTCCAATATCAGTGAGAACGTTTTTGCTCATATCGCTTTCTACACATTCGGGATTATGTCTCTGAGATACAGTGATATTGTGGGGCCAGTGGTTCAAAAGGTCTGCATGTTGGGGGCTCTAATGGTACCTCCCCACTTGCTTTTCAGCTTCTGTTGTGGGTCCCTTGTCCCAGGCATGGCAGGAAGGAAGTGCTGCTGGGTTCTGAGGCACCACTGTGGGCAGGGGCAGAGTGCAGGCCATATTTGGCAACTGGGGGAGCTCTGGTGGCTGAAGGCCCCTCCCTCACATCCCTGACACCACAACTGTCCCATATTCTTGTGGGTCCTTGTGAAGAAAGGGGACCCCACCTCTGACTGAGATTAAAATTCCCACAGCCCAGCAGCATGGGGCCTTGAGGTCAGATCTAACTGGATTTCAAAGAAATTAAGAAATGGACTTTGAGGGTGGCATGTTTGAGTTTATAAAAATTTCAAATTGGTGCCCTTATAACTGGAGAGTCAGAGGTGCCTTTTTAGCCTGGACACACACCCACACCCCCCACACCCCCCACCGCCAGGCTCTGAGAGGCCACCTGAGGTGACAAGAAAATTCTGAGTGCTGATGTTGCTCAACTCCTGGGTGAGGAGACAGATCTCTAGTACAGAGGGGCTGAGCCCCCTGGAGGCTTCAGTAATGGTGCAGGGGAGGGGTCAGTCATGTCCCAGTCGGCTCAGCCTCTCATGGCAAAGCTGCGCAGGGACACGGGAGACCACCTCGCCATCATGAACATCCAGCAATCAGATGGATGCTGCCCACAGCAGTCAACTGCAAGGTCTCCAGGCAGAGACGGGCTGCTCTAACCTGTCCTAGCTATACTGTGACTTGGGTTCCTGACCTCATGTCACCTCATGACTGACCTTGATGAAGTCAACCTTCTCCTCATGGCACATCTCCTCTATGTTTTCCATGAGTTCCTTGCAGGTGTCGAGGTTTTCCCCACAGCTGACCAGCTGTCCATACAAGGTTTCCAACTTTGCTTTCTTTTTCTCCCCTAGAGCTTGTATTTTTTCTTCATATTTTTGAGCGAGTGTTTCTAAGATCTCGTTGTAATGTGACTCAAAGTTTTGTTCCTGTCTTCCGAAGTTCTCCTGCAAGATAGTTGACCTTAGCCATCAGCTTGGTGAAATGTGGTGTATTGGCAACAGAGCCATTTGGGGCATGAAAACATATCCACCCAGAGATATCTTAGTCACCTCCCCTGGTCTTAGCTTCTTTTGCCAGGATGCCTAGGTGTGCACAGCAGGAGCTAGGAAGAGGAGTCTGCAGCTAGAACCCCTGGGATAATCTCAATGAGAAGCACTGCTTTCTCTCCTGGCAGCATTTTGCAACCCTCACCCAGGGGAGGAAGGGTTGTGGCCAGATGGCACTGCCTAATGGATGGGAGTGCAGGATGACAGGGGGAGACTTGTGACAGTACTTAATCCTGGGGCACAGCACATGTGTAATATTAATTAAAGCCCATCTGGGGATCCCTGGGTGGCTCAGTGGTTTAGCGCCTGCCTTTGGCCCAGGGCACGATCCTGGAGTCCCAGGATCGAGTCCCACGTCGGGCTCCCTGTGTGGAGCCTGCTTCTCCCTCTGCCTGTGTCTCTGCCTCTCTCTCTATGTCTATCATGAATAAATAAATAAAATCTTTAAAAAAAAAAAAGCCCATCAACTACTGGTCCTCTTACTTAGGTTGGAAAGTCAAGAGAGCTCTGCAGGTTCTGACCGATGTCACCCTCACCAGATAACAGAGACATTTCCAAAGAAGAAGCCCTTAGGATTCAGGGAGTATTTGCTGAGCCTCTTCTATGTGCACAAGATTTGCTCAGAATGGCACTGGTGTCGGTGTAAACGAGAAGACTCAGAGTCTTCCCTGAGGGTGATTGACTTTGATCTGAGATGCACTGCCAGTGGGAGTATAGGGAGTTCTGTCCAGGTGGTTGCACACTTATTCCTACCACTACCTTCACTTGTTCCTTCCCTGTACCCTGCAGAACAGATTTGTGCCATAGTTCTCCTCCCTCTTAAGACTGGTGGTTAAGAAGGTCCAGCTTCACAGGAAAGGGGCTTGGGGCTCAGCTAATTCATATGAGATGCTCCTGCAGATTAATAGAAGCGGAGCACTTGCACGAAGAGAAGGGAGGTAGAAAGTCTCCCAATCCTCTGTCCTGGGGCACTTTATCTGGATGGTGAGGCTGAGTGCTGGCATCATAGTGGTACTACATGTCTCAGAGGCTGACCCAGGGCTGTGACATGTTTGGTGACAGGCACAAATGTGTATTAATCTGATAAGATACAGAGAACAGCTGGGGAAAGGAACAAGGAAGGATGGCTGCCTTGCAGGGCCCTGTCAAGCCTGGGCCATGCAAGAGCCCCACCTGGCAGTAGGGCTGAGGCTAGAAAGACAGAGAAGCTTCCAGTTCAGGAGAGAATGTGGACAGGTACCTGGTTCCAGAAGATAGATCCTGCTAAGGTCCCCTACTAGGGCAGTAGGGAGGTAGTCTCTAACCCACACCTGACAACAGCTACAGACTCCACCACCTGCAGAAGCCAGCGTGTGACTGATGGGTCCATCACCTGCTCTTACCTCCACCGTGATGAAAACCTCTTCCAAGTGATTTGCAAAATTCTCCATCTCGATGATCTGCTTTTCCAATTTGAACATGTTTTTGTGAATTTCATCCTAGCAAACAGAGGTTAGCAAGGAGACATTAGTGTTCTTATTCTCTCTTCTGTAGAAGGCATTTCCATTCATTCTCTGCTTGCCTACCTGAGATATATATGCACTATAGACAGAACATTATTTTACCTTGGCGCTTTCCAGGGCCTTGCTGAGTGGGGTCACCTCGTGCTCTCTGTGCTCATCAGAAACCTTCAACGCCCTCACCGGAGCTTTGCAAGTGACGCAGAAGACCAAGGCGGCTTCATCCTCGTCCTCCTCCTCGGGGATCACATAGCACTCGTACTCCTCGCTGGCCCGGCCATGCGAGTACCTGTAGGCCTCTCGCAGGTCCCGGCTGGGGGCAGGTGCACCCCAACCCGCGCAGCCCCGGTCCCCGGCCTCGGCCTCGGCGCCCAGTCTCCAGTCCCTGTGGGCCCCGGCCATGCGCGGCCGCTGCTCCCAAACCTCCAGATGGGGCGAGCTTCCGTCCACGAGCTCCGCGTCCCACTCGCTGCCGTCTCCAAGTGCGTATAAATGGACAAGCTCTTCCACGTCCTCCTCCAGGTCTCTCGGGGCCGCCCCCTTGGGCTCGCCAGTCATCTCGGCCTGCACTTCTCTCCCTGTCTGCAAGTGTTCTTCCGGGAAGAGGTGCAGCCGGTCTTCGGGGTCATACAGATCCATGGGGTAGAAGTGGAAGTCCTGGGGTGCCCGGGCTGGGCGCAGTTCGGGTGCCCCCGCAGCCTCCCCTTCCATGGCGCCTCTGCACCTGCAGAGTTCCTGCCCCGCAGCTCCCACTGGGCGTCCTGGGGTCTAGGACACAGAAAGAGTGAGCAACCCCATTCATGAGAAGGCCATCCCAGTACATGGTCATTAGACTGGTCTTGCTCATTCACAATTAAAAAAAAATGTTTTTTAAACTTTTTTAATTTAAAAAGGCAGCTCAGCTGCGGTTTTACTTTGAACCATCTACAAAGAGAGGTTTACTTTCTCCAGGAAGGAGGGACTTTCTAAGCTTAAAGAGGACCAGATATTACCAAAGAAATTTCAATAGTTTCCTCTTCATTAAAGCAAATAAACAGAGGCCAAATAAAGCAAAGTGACTTGGGCAGTTATCATTAAAGCAAATAAACAGAGGCCAAATAAAGCAAAGTGACTTGGGCAGTTATTACTAAACAAATAGTATAAATTGATAGAAAAAAAATTAAGATCTCAATAAGTTAGTGTGCAAGGACAACTCACAAAATAATCACTTGTGCAAAAACATTTGGGAAATGGTCTATCCTTATGAGTAATAGAGAACAAATAAGTAAGATGCCATTTAGCCTTTCCAGTGAGCAAATAATTAAAAATATAAGAATGTTACCCAAGACTGGGTAGGGTACAGCAAAGTGAGTATGCTCACATGCTGCGGGTTGGAATGTCTACTAGCCCCAACTTTCTGAAGAGCAAACGGGACAACACAGATCAGGAGCCTTAAAAATGTTCACCCTCTTTAAGTTAGTAATCCTCATGAGGACCCTGAAGGGAAATATTCAATACAGGAGAAAAAAACGTTTCTATATAAAAATATCTATCACAAATTTTTTAGAGTGGGGAGGGGGAAAGGGAGAGAGATAATCTTAAGTAGGCTCCATGCCCAGTGCAGAGCCCCATGCAGGCCTGGATCTCATGACCCTGAGAGCATGACCTGAGCCAAAATCAAGAGTTGGACATTCAACAAACTGCGCACCCAGGTGCCCACAAAAATTATTATGACAGCAAAAAAATTAAACTGTAAAGCCCCAGTGATTAGGAGAATAGTTAAGTAAACTAGGATATCCATACTCTATAGGATATAATGCAGACTTTAAAATATTAGGGAGAGCAAATGATAACTTGGCAAAGACATACAGTATGATATTAAGTAAAATAAACAATATTCATTATATAGAGACTATGTTTACTACTTAATGGAGGTATACAAATCTAGAAAGAAATAATAAATGGTAGAAGTAGTAAATACAACATTAGTAGCAGCTACTACTCATGGAGCACTTACTGTGTGCTTTCTCTATGGTCGGCAGTTTAGAGGCATACCCTGTGTGGTAGGCACTGCTATCATCTCCATTTTGCAGCTGATAAAACTGTGGCTCACTCAGGGTATCTGGAGCAAGGTCATATGGCCAATAATTTGTTGAGCTGATATTTGAACCTTAGTCTGTGTGGTGGCCACGATACTGTGCCTGACAGATGTCCCAACTACAGGAGCTTCGGTGACCAGGTGTTCAGGTGTGCTCTGAAATCCATCATCACATTGCATGGAGGACACACTTCCCATAGGCATTTCCATCCAATGACAGAGTGTAGCAGGGATTCTAAGGCAGATCCATTTCTGTTTGACCCAAAACTCCTCTGACAGCAGATTTTGACTGGAGGGCTCCTTGACAGCCTTGCCGAATCTTTCTTAGGGTGCAAGGCAGACTGGAGTGGCTCCTCCAAACCATCCTACCCTCCCTCACTTGGGGTCAGACTTGCACCATGGTCTGAGAGCACTCTCAGCCTTTCCTACCTTCCTCTCCATTTTACCTCAGATAAGAGTTTCACCTAATAAAATCCTTGTGTATCTGATCCTGTTTGGTGCTTGGTTCTTGGAGGACCTGGATTATACAGTCTGTTGGATTCCGAAATCCCTGCTTTCTTCTTGGCACATAATTGCTATTATGTTAGATTACCTCTGATAATATTTATTACTGATACTGAATTCACATACCATACAATTCTCCTGTCAGAAGTGTATAATTCAATGATTTTTAGGATATTTACGAAAACAAGCAACAATTGCCACAGAACATTTTAGACCATTTTCATTCCATCACAAAGAAATTCTGCACTCTTTAGCTACCACCACCCACATTCCTCCATTTCCACCAGCCCTAAGCAACTGGTAATCTACTTTCTGTCTCTATTGATTTACAAATGGGATCATACAATATACTGGATTCATATAATGGAATCATATAAATGGGATCATATAATATACTGTCTTTTGTGATTGGCTTCTTTCATAGCATGTTTTCAAGATTCATCCATGTTATAGTGCGGGTCAGTACTTCTTTCCTTTTTTAGAGAGAGATAATATTCCCTTGTATGGGTATATCATATTTTTTTATCCGTTCATCAGCCTATTTACACACTTCCTTTTTCCTTTTTTTAAAGATGTATTTATTTGAGAGAGAGAGAGAGGCAGGAAGAGGCAGAGGGAGATAAAAACTTAAGCAGATTCCCCACTGAGTGTGGAGCACAATGCAGGGCTCTATCTTACGACCCTGAGATCACGACCTGAGCCCAAACTAAGAGTTGGATGCTCAACTGACAGCACCACCCAGGCACCCCTGCATGTTTCCCTTTCCATTTCGATTGTTTTCACTTTTTGACTACTACTATAAGTAATGCTGCTAAAATGTTTATGTACAAGTTTTGTGTGTGTCTATGTTTTCATTTTTTTCATCTCTCTTGGGTATATACCTAGGAGTGGGGTTGCTGGGTCACAGGGTAACTCTACATTTAATTTTCTGAGGAACTACCCAGCTGTTTTCAAAGTGGCTGTGCCATTTTACATTCCTACTAGCAGTGTATGAAGGCTCTGATTTCACCACACTCCTGTCAACACTTATTATTATCTGATTTTTTTTATTATAGCCATCCTGGAGGGTGTGAAATAGTATGTCATTGTGGTTTTGATTTGCATTTCCCTGATGAATACTGATGGCAGGTATTTTTTCACACATTTGTTGGCCATTTGTATATCTTTTTTTTTGAGAAATGTCAATTCAATAGTCTGCCTATTTTTAACGGGGTTATTTGTAAGATTTCTTCACATATTCTAGAGACTAGTCCATTATCAGATACATAATTTGCAAATATTTTCTCCCATCTTATAGACTATTTCATCGCTTTTTATAAATTAAAAAAAATTTTAAAGTAGGCTCTACACTCAACGTGGGACTCAAACTCACAATCCCTAGACCAAGAGTCGCACACTCTACCAACTAAGCCAGCCAGGCACTCTCATCTTTATTGATGGTGTCCTTTGAAGCACAAAAGTTTTTACTTTTGAGGAAGCCTATTTTATTTTTTCTTTTGTTACTTGTGCTTTTGGTGTCATATCTAAGAACTCACTGCCAACTCTGAGGTTAAGCCAACCTTACATTCTTGGGATAAATTGCACTTAGACATAGTGTTTAATTTTATATATATATATTACTGGATTCAGTTTGTTGGCATTTTTTAAGGAGTTCTGCATTCATATTCCTAAGTAATATTAGCCTGTAACTTTCTTTTCTTGTAATGTCTTTGTCTGGTTTTGGTGTCAGGAAGATGTAGCCTCATAGAATAAGTTGGGAAATATTCCTTCTCTTCTATATTTTGGAAGAACTTGATATATATATATATATATATATATATATATATATATATATATATATATATAACTTCTGAAGGACTGGCATTAATTCCTCTTTACAAGTTTGGTAATTCACCAGTGAAGTTATCTGGGCTTTCATTTTGAGTTTTTTTTCCTTATTATTATTTTTTAAAGTATGTATGTATGTATGTATGTATTTATTTATTTATTTGTTTATTTATTTATTTATTCATGAAAGACACACAGAGAGAGGCAGAGACACACACAGAGGGAGAAGCAGGTTCCCTGCAAGGAGCCTGATGCGGGACTCGATCCCAGGATTCCAGGATCATGCCCTGAACCAAAGGCAGATGCTCAACCCCTGAACCACCCAGGCGTCCTTTTTTTCCTTATCATTAATTCAGTCTCTTTATTTATTATAGGCCCATTCACATTGTCAATTTCTTCTTGAATCATTTTGATAGTTTGGATTCTTCCAAGAATTTGTCCATTTCATTTAACTTACCTAATTTTTGGAATACAATTGTTTATAGTATTCTTTTAAATTCTTTTTATTTCTGTAAGGTTGATAATAATGTCCCTTCTTTCATTTCTGATTCTAGTGATGTGAGTCTTCTCTATTTTTCTCTTGGCCAGTAAAAGCTTGTCAGTTTTGCTGATCTCTCTCTCTCTTTTTTTTTTTTTTTTTGGCTGATCTCTTTAGGAAGCAAGCAGTTTTTGGTTTTCTTGGATTTTCTCTATTGTTTTTCTATTCCCTTCTTCATTAATTTCCACTGTAATCTTTAGCATTTCCTTCCTTCTTGCTTTGTTCAGTTTGCTGTTCTTTTTTCAGAGTCTTAAAGTGGCAGGTTAGGTTGCTGATTTAATATCTTTTTAAATACAGGCATTTATAGCTGTAAATTACCCTTTAAGCATGACTTTTGCTACATTCCAATACTGTGGCAAAAAAAAAACTTTTCATATGTTTTATCTTTATTTTTATTCATCTTGAACTATTTTCTAATTTCCCCTTTGCTTTCTTCTTTGAAACACTGGTTATTTAGGAATGTATTTTTAATTTCCACATATTTATGACTTTTCAAATTTCTGTTATTGATTTCTAATAGCATCCCATTATGGTCAGAGAACATATTTTTGTATTATTTCTACCTTGTTAAATTTATGAAGATTTGTTTTAGCATTTGATTTATTCTGGGGAATGCATTCTATATGCTTTGAGAAGTGTGTGTATTCTACTGCTGTTGGGTGGAGCGTTGCTGGTTTACAGTATTATTTGAGTCCTCTATTTCCTTGTTGATCCTCTTTTTAGTTGTTCTGTTATCAAAAGTAGAGTGCTGAGGTCTCCAACTGATTTTGTTGAGTTGTCTCTTTCTCCATTTTTGTCACTTTTTGCTTCATGTATTTTGGT